GGGGGGGGGGGGGGCGGGGGGGGGGGGGGGGGGGGGGGGGCGGCGGCATGAGCAGCAAAACGCAAGAAAGAACAAGACAAGAATGGAAAAAAATGCAACTCACTCTTAATTGAGATGAAAATCACACGGCCGTGGAGGGGGAGTGACTCTGAGGAGACAGAAACGGTCACATGTTAGGCTCTGTGCTCGGGCCTGCGTCGGGCGCCGTGACGCGCCGGGATCCTCCACGCGGGGCCGAGCGCGTCCGTATCGCCGCCTGCCTGTTTGCCCTATCCGTGCGGGCTGCGTGTGTCCGTCTGCCAGTCAATCTGTTCCCGGCGCAGTCTGTTTGCCAATCTGTCATTTTCTGTTTGCTAGATAAGGAGATAGAGGGGATGTGCGCGCTCGCATGGGGACAACTCATGCGACGGCGGGCTGGTGCCGGGGTCTGGATGAATGCATCGGGTTCTTGCTTCATAAACATGTAATCAAGACTTTTACCAATTGAAGCGTGCGTTTTTTTTTAAATGTATCATCCAAAACTGTATTAGTCCCATGATATTCACAATTGGGTTTGTTGTTAAATCCGGAAAAACTTCTATACAAACAATAGGTACTTCTGATTCATTTCCTTTTCCCAAAGCCAAATAATCGGTTTATTTCTCCAACCTGAGAGCACTTGACGTCATTTCAAAGCAGCCGAATTTCCTTTTTATCGCTGAAAATTTCCAGCTGAATTTGACCCATTTACAACCCCAGCAGTTTAGGCCTCATAATAAGAGAATCTGGATTTTGTACAAAACGCACCTGTCATAGAGTCAACGCCTACAGCGCGTTTACAACGACGTGAAATTTGGCCCAAATTTAGACTCGCTACCCAAGATGATTTTATTTGTCCTTTCACCCCAAAAATGCCCAGTGGGTAAAGAGAAAAGAAAAAACTACTAAAAACCTGTTTACATTTCAGATGAAGTTTAAAGACACCATCAGTTTTGGAGAAAAGATATCTGTCCTTTAACATCTAGACTTACATGGAGAACATTTTCTTATTGGACAGTATTTTATGTTTACGTAAAACAGTAAACGTCTCCATGCTGACCATATTCCATATTTTTCAACTCATAAAGGCTGATGGACAAACAAGTGGGTGGAGAACTCTGTGAATGTTGAGGCCGGAGAGGACTGACCGCCTTGTTAAAAATCCGGTACAAATTGGCCAGGGTGTCCGAAAGACAACTGTGAGAGTTGTGCTTTTCGCATGTTTGTGTGTTTGACCCGGGCTCAGGCCCAGGCTAAAAGTGGGTTTAAAATAAGGCCGCACGTGCCTCAGACCTCGACCGCCATTGGACAGACACATTGGAAATGCCTCCAAAAAAAGCCTGCTTCAAGGCCAAAGGAAAAACACATTTCTTACTATGTAGCTTTATGTCCATATATGTGTTAAAACTGCTTTTTTTCCCCTTTGGGCTGGCTAAGTCCGCGTGCTTGGTGTTTACACTCTGAGCCCACCTGTGAGTAGCCCGTTGATCCCGAGCTGCTCCTGAGGTCCCTTCCAGACGCCGGGGATCCCCCCTCCTTCTGGCTGCCGACAGAGGAGGAGTCAGAGCAGCTACTGTGGACTGGGGAAGAAAGAGAGAAAGAGTGTCTGTGAGCGGGGAAAGGTTGGCAGCCTCAAAATATAGCGTGTCTCAATATGGCTCCGAAGGTAGCCGAGCAAAGCTTTGGCACGCGATAGTCTCATCCAGCATTTCCCTGCAATCTGCTTGCTTGAATTGGTTTGACTTTTACAGGTTTGTTTTTTTCCCCAAAGCTACTTCGCTGCACAGTTACAGGGTTATCCTGAAATAAAGAGTGTCAGGAAAAACAGGTAGAGGTGAGAAAAAAAGAGGAGAATCATAGCGAGAAGGTTTTTCTTTTCTTTTTTTCTGTCTGATCCTGCTCAGTGAATTTCTAACCCAAGGTGAAGTCTCCCGGGACTAAATTAAATGGAATCCGCTCCATGAGACACCTGGTGAGCAGTATGCGCACTACACCCAGGCATGAATGGCAAATCGCTCCGGTTGGAGGGCAACAATGGCCCTTGGAGATTGAATGGCAGGAGTCTGGAATCTGAGGGCCGGCTGATGCTGTCGGGGTCTGTAATGGCTTCCCCGCATGCGCCCACGCTGCAGCCCGTGTTTGTGTTTACACGCCACTCACGGCACGGCATTTAGGAATCGAACTCAGGAGTGTGCCCGGTGCAATTAGAAGGAGCTTTTGTGGCTTTGTTTGTAACAATGCATGACTAATGTCCCTTTCCCCAAATGTTAGCGGCTGGGTTTTTATTTTTTTATTTTTTTAAGGCACTTTACAGAGCAGACTAGTTTCTGAACAGGTGTGTTCTGATAAAGACGCGCGGCCAAACCTGACTGCAGCCGCTCTGGAATTAGAACTAAAAATGAAATGTGTTTGTTAGAAAAAGGTTATGAAGGCGTTATGAGCGATTCCTTCATTTTAGCAGTGAATCACATTTTGTGGCACAATGTGTTGGAATCTGCACCAAACTGGTGATTTAAAATAAACTTTATTTATTTTATTTTTTTAAAGAGCCATATTCCAATTCTGAACTTTCTGAATATACATCGGGGCGCTTTTCTGACAGCTGAAAAAGCAAGAAATGTATTTCGTACTGTTTGACTGAAACTGAAACGTTGACCATGAGATGTTTTCTTGATTTTTTATGAGTTTCCATAGTTCAATTAAAGATAAGATTGGACACATTTAAAAAACAAAAGCAAAAAAACCCACAAAATCTTAAAGTACCACAATTGCCACCTAATTTCCAGGAATAATTGGAGAATTTTCTTGCTAAATTAATTAATTGAACAATATAACTACATATATAATACAACTACATCTTTGCTGACATGCAACAAAAAAATCTAGAAATTGTTGCCAGCAATAACCTCAAAATATTTGGGAGAAAGGGCAAAAAAATTAGTTTGCAATTCATGCAAATTCAACGATCAGCAGTTCATTCGAATGAAGATATTCAGCAAAGCAAGGCTGTGATGACCCTTTGGCTTTTTAACTAGGGCCTTATCTGACTGTGAGGACATATTAGCTCCCAAAGGACCAAATAATGAAACCCCTGCTGGATGGTTGAGACCTTTGAACACTTCCTACTAAATCATGCCGCCACGACGGGCGCACGGGTCACGATGTTACCTAAGACCGTTTAGGCCAGGAGGAAGCCATCTGTCAGCTTTCACTGTTATCTCACAGCGCCTGTGGCCTGGTGGGTGCCCCTTCCAGCGGTTCTAAAGATGACAAAGCCCATCTAGACTTAAGATGGCACAACAGACTCTGGTGTCCACAGCAGGGACAACTTGATGAGCAAAAGGCGCCCATCCTGGCCATGAAAGCTGCTAATACCGTCACGTAATTCTGCACCACTATTCAAAATGACTAGGGCTTTATGAAGAAGTGGAATTAGGGGAAAGATGTGAACGTTTGAGCTGTTAAAATCTTGTTATCAGCAAGATCGGACAGGTTCCTGTGAAAAATTGCAGCCGTTGGCATCCTCCCCCCCGTCCCCAGACGATTCCACAGAGTAATTAAGAGCTGATGAGACATATCCGTATCCCGGCTTTATTTGAGTGTTTTGCCGACGTTACATTTGTTCCTAAATCCGTTTAGGTTCTCGTGCTGGAAGTCAATTTGAGGCTTTTCATATAGGGGGTTTCTTTGTCTTAATTTTGTCCAATGTGGATATCTTCTCCTGTGGTAATGTTTGGAGAGTGAGGATGTGGCGGGAACCGGTTACAGCAGGGGTTTAAATAACGTATTCCACAGCACGAAAGAAAATGTCAACAATTTATTAAGTGGTGTAAGAGGACTGCTTTCTGCTTTTTAAAAAAAAAAACATTTACCAAAATTATCTATCGCATTTGCACAGACAGGACATGTTTTGCTTCCTGATTGCTATCTTAGGGGCCACATCAGTTTTGGCTTCGAGAGCAAATGTAAACAATCCGTTCTGATCACGTAATACCGGCGACTTCTCGAGGCTGCTGCTGAAACCTTCAGCTTCTGAAAGCCGAAAGATATTCGTCACCCAGGTCCCCCCCCACCCCCCCCATTTGATTGCGTGTAAACTATAGAGGCGTGCTTCTGTTCCAGTTACAGGCCCAAACAGCAGCCGTGCTCTTACCTCTGTCACTGAGGCTGTAGATGGAGTCCAGCTCTGAGCCTGGAGTTCCGGTGGCATCCAGCAGGAGCTTACTCGAAATCCCCATGCAGAGCGACTCCTTCAGACACAACTCTGAGGAAATCAATCAAACCCACAACGTGAGCGACGGCGTCCGAACCGCGTTCATTTAAACCCTGACGCAGTCGGCGAGCGTTTCGTGTCAGTTTGGCGCGACTTTATTTTTAGAACGCCTCGTCTGTGGGGACATTTGAAAAGCATTAATCCCTTCTATAGGGACGTAGCGAAGCGCCGTGTGCAGGATGATACCGAAATCTAAGCCAACTGCAGGAAGCAGTGTTCAGACACAGGGAGACATGTGATAGCCAGCAGCTCTGTGTGTTTGGAAGGCCGCGCATAAACACTGGGACCAAAATCACACAGCAAACCCAACTGCTGGCGGTGCTTTTCTATGCTCCCCCCTGACAGGAAAGGCTATTTTATCCTACGTTTAGCTATACAAAGAGACATCTGATTTGTTTAGTCGACTAAAATATAAAACCTAATCAGGGCCCTCCATTTCCTTCAAGCCCACTGAAGAAATGATAAGGAATAATATAAACTTCCACAGCTAAATTTCTAAAATAATCTTTTGTTGTGTGGAATTTTTACATATTTGTTTTCATTATAAAATTGGGATTCAGGGGTAAAAATGGGAACATATCTTGTCATCTTTAGCGACATCTTATAAGTGTAGAAGTTTCCCAATTCTGATTAAACAGCGGTGTAACAACCATATAGCTTTTCCCTGAAAAATGTACCATAGAGCATAAGCTTAGGAAAAGGGTATAAAACAAAGACAGAAATAACATTTTTGGCTCTCTGTCCCTGGAGGAAATTTCATAGAATGCAGTTTACGAACACAGCATTGTCTGTTATTTTAAAATCCAAAAGGTCAATCCATCTCTGCAGACACAGAGAAATGTAACCCACACCATTTGTAAAAACTTCCACAACTCTACTCTCCATTTGCTCCTACTCTGAGGGGAGCATTCTTTAATTGTTCTTTGGTAGTTCTTTGTCTCGATCTCCCCAAAGGCCGACCAACTGCGGCTTTTGTTTTGCAGCCCACACATGCTTAGAACATGTAAGCCACACACGTTCTGGAATTCAGAATAAAGAGCCAGCAACCTATCATTCAACCTAACACTGAACCCCCTACCTTCGTCTGTCTGAACCCTAACTCGATGCGTTAGGTAGTAGGTTTTAAATGCCTCTAATGGGACTTTAGGCAGCTTTCCCTGAAATCAGATCACATGTGCTCCAAGTGATACTGTACCTGTGTTGTTGATGGCGTGAGTCCACAGAAGATGGGCGATGTCTTGAGTCCAGGATGCCCTGTCTTCCCTATCCTGCGCCTGGAGCGTGACGCAATCTTTAGTCCGAGGAGCTTGTCGCACCCAGACTTCAAACTTCACACCTTCATCCCCGACGCTCTGAGTCAGACCCATCTCGCCCGTCTGCAAAAGGGAAGACGGTGGCACATTTGAGAAAAACCGAGTAACCTCCGGCGGCGTTTGGAAACTAAATGTTACCTTGATGCTGTGTTTGTAGTTGTAGGAGACGCGTCCCGGCCCCGTGCTCTTCTGCTTGGTGAAGATGACCACGTGCCGGTAGAGGAAAACGCTCCTCACCCCGGCCCGCTTTCTCCGAGGGCCCCCGCACACCGTGAGCTCGCCCTGCCGCACCAGCTCGCCACGCTCAGCCACGGGGATCTGAAATCACACAGATCTCAGCATGACGCCATCTTTGCTGTGATTGGATACAGATCCAATCGTGTTTTCCAACTTTTAGGCTTCAACTGAGGTTTGAAATAGCTTGAATTGTTCTGTAAAACGTACATAATGTACCTGAAGGTTAAGAACCGATCTTTACAGGGGATGCTTTGGCGCTAAAGCAAAAATCTTTGCGTTTTAGAGTCCTCAACGTCCTTCAATCCCTGAAATCTTCACTTTGGCAATGCAAAATATTTTATCTGTAAAGACTGAAAGGCCTTGTTCACAGTTCAATAAAGAGAAGGGACAAAGCAAGAGCGTTCCACAGTGACATACTCCCACTTCCAAAGGATGTTTTTTTTTTTTTTGTTTTTCTCCGAGAACTTTACTCTAATTGGCCGTCTGACTCACGCCTTTTGTAAAAATGTGACTTTATTGTTCATGTCAATTACAGGGTTGAGACTTTGTAATGCCGTTGGAACTCGCAACAAAAGGCGGATAGACACATGTGAAAGTCAAAAAATGACAAATTCCCTCCGTTCGGAGTTAATTCTGAGATGTGAAGAGAGGCCCAAACAAACAGTTAGCACAGTTAGCAACGCACAAGGCCTCCAGCTTTATCTGCCGAGAGCCTTTGAAAGAGGACTGGCATTTCACCGGCCAACCAGGGACTCGCAACTTTTTTTTGGAAACTCCGGGGATGCGAGGGTCATGATACAAGTGATGCTTCACATATAATATGGACACCCACATCCACACCCACTTAAACACACGTACAGCTGCACTTTGAGTCATTTTTTTACTTGGAGAGCTTTTCAAGTAGCTGGATGGAAAGGCTGCAGTTGTAATCTTTCCTCTCGCCCTGAGGTCGTTTTGTGTGTGTGTGTGTGTGTGTGGGAGTGCAACATTTATCATGACTGCATCTGAAGAACGCTGCTGCGTCAGAGTAGCACCTTTAAAGAGATTACCAATGCGTTTCATCCAAAAGAACACGCGATCTGTCCCCCAGATTAGTTTTCTTTTCCTCCATTAGTAGTCTCTCACAGGTAAAGATGAAGAAAATGTAATCATCACGTTCTGTACTAACAAATGGGGTTTCTTGTGGTAAAGTGGTAAAAAGTTAAAGAAAAATGCAAATGAGCCTCTTGAAATGAGCTTTAAAGCGCATTTTAAACGAAGCCGCGACTTAATGAGCTCCTTTCTCTGTTTTCAGAAGTTAAACGCCAATGCATTTTTTTCTTCACACCTCTTAATTGTGAGTATTAAACAGAAAGAGCCCTGCTAACAGTTCCATTACTTTCCCTGGCCTGACCTCATCAAGATGATTTAGTTTCTTTCCCTCTAAGAAAAGAAAGTGGGACTTGACAGTTGCAGACTCATAAACTGGGACAGGCGTTCTCACCGGACATCCGACGATGAGGTCACTGGCCCTGAGGTCCTCGCCGTGCCTCTGGGCGTGCCTTAGGATGGAGAGGGCGGAGTCTGAGGCCGGATTTATGCCCCCCAGCTCCTCCAGAGCTTCACAGTACTGCTCCAGTCGCTGAATGGGAGCCTGAAGGCAGTGAGGGAAGGACAGAGGGGACAGGGGGGAGGCCTGGGGGAGTTTGGACTTTAGTACAATGGATAGGAAACAGAGGAAATGTTAGATGTTAGATTTGATTGTGTTATTACATATATGTGACTTTGAGTCTGTGTGTGGGTAATCTAAAGAGAAATACCTCCCAGACAATGCCATTGTGTGGGTTGTGTGTACGTCTGTGTGTGTTAAAATATCATTCCCAGAAGCTTATTATTTAGTCCCTCATTTGTTTCTGTCTGTACCTTAAAGGGGAAAGGACAGCTTGATGCCATGCTTTTATAGGACTGAATACACATTTTAAGATGAAAGTGGTTGTAGTTTGGACTTCTGTTTACAGGTAAATTTAGCTCAGTATAGTCGGATTGTATTTCCACTTTGATTTAATTCATGGTAAACCATTTAGTTTAGTGACGTTCCAGCTGTTTCGAGCTTAACGCTTTCTTTTCCGACTGCTGATCACAGGTCCCATGGGGGGGGGGGCGGTTACCTGTGCCGGCGTCATAACCATCATGCCCACCATCCCCCGAAATGATCGACATGGCCGTTAAACCTTCACACCAGCTTCATTATCATCACCATATCCATAAACCATTCTGTGTGATGACGGCAGGCTGGCTGGTGACAGAGCACGCTGCCCCCTGGTGGTAATCTGGTGGAAGGGCAGCTCTCTGAAACTTCAGTGCAGCTTCAAAGCTCTGAAGCACTGTGATCTCTCCTCACAAAGACCCCATGGTAATCTCATCATGGTGCCGATGTATTAGCTTGACTTAATTTAAACTCAGGAGTTTAAATGACTTTCTTTATAATCTAGCTTTAATTGGCTTTTTCTAGTTGTATACCGAACATGTAATTAACTTGACTGTATATGGCTCGTATTTAATTGCCGCCACTAACAAATAAAGCCACTTTAATTGGCTTTGTTCTTGTGATGTACTCAAAAAGTACTTCTACTGAAGTGCCCGTTTAGTTCTTTTGGATTTTCAAAGGAAAAAAATATTCACGACCCTTTAACTCATGTAAATAAACTCATGGGTGTGTTCAGTAGAGATATTTGGGACTTTCTCCCTCCCAATCCTCTTTACTGAAATGGATGCAAATGATTTGTGGATACTAAACTGCGTTTCACTCATTCAATTGTATAAATCAACAGCTGAAGAAAGTGGGAATCCCACCTTAAAGAAGTCAGAGGCCTGAGTGACCAGTGGGGAATCCAGTTCCGGTTTAGACCTGATGTAGTGGGAATACTGCAGAAACTGCTCCCGCTTTGAGAGAAGAAGATATAGAAAGGTAAATGAAAGGCTTTCAAATTCTGTGATTCATTCAAATCCATTAAATTGCTTCACATAAACATATACTTTATGTACATACATATGAATGTGTGTATAGAAATCCATAGCAATGCACAGATAGGAATTCAAAGTAAAGATAAGATTTTGTTTTTTCAATACATATTTTAAACAATAGCCAAATTCTTTATATTTCCCCTCCAGACGACAGTACTTACATATTTGCTGAAGCAGTCCTGTTGCAGCAAGCTCTGCACGAGAGCACCTTCCATGGCAGGGAGCAGATCCTGAGAGTGAAAGGCACTCAGGCTGGTCCAGTTGGGAAAGAGTGAGTCCGCTTTCCCCCGGATGTTAGCCGGGATGTCTGAGAGCTCCAGTAAAGGCAGGTATGTCTCCTCTACCCCCTTCAGGACTGTGACATACTGCCTCTCTGAGCTCAGCATTCGGCACCACAGCAGGTACAGCTTACTGCAGGACGGGAGGGAGAGGTGGGGAGACCAGGAGGCAGACCGATTCATTAGCAAATTTTCAAGAGACAGGCACAGACGGGAAAAGTAGAAGTGCGGGGGAAAGCCAGAAATTAGCATTGGACAGGTATCAAAGAGCTGGGATATAAAAATTATAATGATGTTGTGGAGGGGGCGTGGCGCTCAGCTGCAGGGGGGAGGGGTAGAGGAGGCTCAGGTGAGCAGTGCCAGGGGAGATGATTAGGCACACCTGGAACCGGTTGGCTAATCACTCTCCCCTCTGTAAAGAGTAGCGTGCTGGACCTGGGGAGGACGGGTTTTGGAGGAGAGCTGGAGCAGGAC